CCTTTAGATTTTATGTTTTAACATCTTTAAACATTTTTTACCATTAACTAGTTCTCACTAAGTCCTAGTGATAGATAGAACTAAAGCAACTAAATTCAAAGCATCATGTTTGACAATAACCAAACACTGCCTTTGACCAGAAGACCTCATGCCAACTGTCAATGACGGTGGTGGATGGGAGATGGTTGGAGCCTGCTTTGCATTCTCAGGACTTGAACACCTTACTATCATAGGATAGTCTGCCATTATTTCCACACTACGGTATATCAGAGTATTCTTGACGAATACTTGAGACTATCTGTCCCATACCTAAAGCTGAATCGAAACTGGATCATGCAATAGGACAATGATACAAAACACACTCGCAAATCTGGAACAGAATGGCTTAAAAAGAAGAAATACAGGATTTTGGCATGACCAAGTCAAAATCCGGACCTAAACCCCTATAGAGATGCTGTTGCGAGACCTGAAGAGAGTTGTGCATACAAGAAAGCCCTCAAACATTACAGAGTCAGAACAGTTCTGTGAGACAAAGTGGGACAGAATTCTTCACAGGCGATGTAAGAGACTGATCAGCTCTTATAGGAAATGGTTAATTCAAGTTATTGCTGCTAGTTACTGTATCAAGGTTTGCTTTTACTTTTTCACACAAACTTTGAATACTGTCTGATTTATTTAAATAATAAAAAAATGACAAAGTCGATTTTTTTGTGTATTATTTGTCTGATGAGGTTAGTTTTATCTACTAATGGACTTGATAAGATTTAATGAAGGTCAAATATGTCTAAATATGTTAAACCATAGAATCCTAAGGGGATATACATATATGTATGCTAGTACTGTAAGTAAATGTATGTACTGTACAGTACAGTAGGATTTAAACTGAAATGTGCTACTTATATTTATACGTTTGGACTGTTTTATGTCAGCTGATGTACATTACAGCATTCTGTATTTTGATTTGCCAGTTTGAAAAGGTTTTGAGAGTTTAACAGCATTGCAGTATAAATACAGATATGATGTTTGTTATAAAGTATTAAATGCTGAGCACATTATAACAGTACCTCTTTCAGGTATTGAAGTGTGAACTCACTGTCTTCACAGTCCTTGCTGTTTCCCTAATAACCACTCTGTCTTCAGGTAATACTAGCCTGCCATGGTGAAATTGCTCCAGTACAGAGCTCAACTTCAAAATATCCTGCTGTTTAGCTCAGCTCATTATAGTGTAACATTATGTTATGTATAGTATGTATATCTGTCTTTAAACAATACAAAGAAAATTGATCTCCATCAAAAAAAATCTGACAGTAGTCCAAAAATAAAAGTCTAAAAATTTCACAACATAATGCCTGCTTTCCTGTGGAACTATCTGATTGGCCCTTTTTGCTATAGTTTTCACTTTTTATGTGTGGAGTACTTACAGTAATATAAATGTCTTCATTTTTCTTCAATTTCTTAGAATACGAGTTGAACTATGAACAGTGGAGACCTTGTAGTATAGTCAGGCTTAAGTTCTTGTCTTAAAATGTGGATCTTCAAGTCCTTATGCTGATTTTGGTTGTACACTACTCTCTGAACGCCTGGAGGGTCACTCACTCTTTCAATACATGCACTGCCTTTTCAGCGTTGACAGACAAGGGCGGTGTAAACAAACTGGAGTCTGTTGCCAAGACACTAGTGACTGGAAGCCAGCTGGCCAGTCTTGAAACAGACAGAGCACACCTACTCTTTTTCCTTCTGAATTAGTAGTGCAAGCAACCTCTCAGTGCTCTGTCTCTTTTGGTTTTGGGGTTGGTTGATCTGGGGGATGTGACACCTGATAGTGACCAGAATCTAAAATATCAGAGCCCGGTTGGCTTCCTGCCAGGTCAGCTCCTCTTCATCATTGAGAGAGCAGCACTTATCTAGCTACCCTAGTCGGAGGAACCATAGGATCGCTGATCTATTTAATGGCACCCCCATCAATCTCACAAGGGCTTCGCCTCATTGAGTTTTTCCTGGAATTCCTTGATGAAGTCCAGTCTTAATGGGGCAACACATTCACCGTTCCTGTCACAGCCTGCGGAACAGGATGTATTCTGTCTATGCATGGAGCAGACGTGGTGAGCATCTGCAATCTTCCCCTGCTGAGGAATCCAGGTGGTCCAGGGCACCACCATATTGACCATTAGTAAGCAATGCTGAAGGGTTGCCCTCCAGAAGATATTCGTGACGGGTTTTCTGGCTGCTCACATAGTGAATGTCTGTTGTGTCCTTTTGGTGATTCAGCCAAAACATCTGTAATGTTCCGCATTAACTCTAGCTCACTAAATGAAAGCGGGAAGGCGAAAGCTAAGGGGCCAGGAGCTCTTGTTGTGGTGCGACAGCAACTTTGGCTATCTCGGGCACTTTTTAGGTGCCCCTATCACCCCAGTAAATACTGTGGGTACCTTTGATGACTTGCTCCAGAGTTCTGCCTCTGGATCCTCTGGAGTTTCCAAATTTTCTCCTTAGCTGTGTGGTTTAGTATTCTGACTCTTGATTACTCTTTCAACATCAACATCCTTGCTACGCTAGACCGTTCTATTGCGATTCCTGGCTTCGACTTCCACCTTCGCGGACTTGAACCAAGTTTTCCGCATGTATGCACAGTTCTGCTACTCCTCCAGTCTCACGCTAGCCACAGCATCATGTCTGCCTGCGTGCTGGATTCGTTCAGCTGGCCTTTAAGCATGCAGCCTGTTTCCCGTCTCCAGAGTGCACTCTCCGACGTTCCATCCGGTTCCAGAAATGCACAGATCTTATTATTTCCCTGTATGCTGCTTGCAGGTTTCCTAACTCAGCTGCTTGTTGCCCAACATTTGAGTTCCCCTACGTTCAAGGATCTCACCAATAAGTCCCATCACTGTAGCGCGGCATTGCACCTTTAAGATAAAAAGTTCCAAAAAATGCAGTTGTTTGGTTATTAATTTGTTTGAAGCAATGTTTGGCCTGCATAGTAAATTCATGTACCGTATATGGCTGAAGAAGAAAAAGCCGTAAGGCACACAAAATGATGCACCTCCAACCTCTCTCATTATGCCTAATAATTAAAATAAATTTAAAAAATGAGTACCCAGCTGGGGTCTCTGGGATTCTTTTATGAACTGACAGGATGGGGCTCTTGCATCACTTTGATAAAAGCAGCTAAGTAGAGTTGCCTGCTTTTGTTTGAAACCTGGTGTTCGAAATAATTTTTAATAGGAGCCAAATATCCAGTAAATGAAGTTCCTTTCTGATGGAAGATCAATCCAATGGTAATCATTTGCTTCAGAAGAAAAGCCTCAGATGCCAGAGGATTGTTTTTGTAATGATTTCATTTAAAAATAATGATTTTGTTGACTTTTTCCACAGTGTCATTCAGTAAGGATAGAAAAAATGATTGTTGGGTAAATATTTCAAGCTTCTGGTTTTAATACATTTCATCTGAGGTGCTGTCATTGATATTGTTGTGGGTGCTGCATACAGTAATCATGTGTTAGCTTATGTATGGGGGTAACAAGGACTTCGAACTAAATGTTTTCCTCTCCTCTACAGACGTATATTGCACTTATGTGACTCATTCCATCAACTGATTTTTAATGTTTATTTTTTCAAATTTGTCCATCTTGCTGCAGTCATCATTCTGATATTACTCATAATCCCAATACATTTTGAAAGAGTTTTATTTAGAGAGAATTATGGTGCAATTCTGCACTTTTACAAGATTGCCAGTTTAACAGACATACTGATTTGTATATTCAAAGTAAGGGTTTCTTCATGTCTGTCTTTATTTGGCTTGAAGAAATAGAGAAAGAAACAGCAACAATTATCTGTGCACTAAAGGATAAACTTTTAAGTCATTTAGGTTGAAAAGGAGAAACTGCTTTTAGTCACAGGATATTTCATTAAGCACAGCTTGATTTCATGAAGACAGAGATTTAGACCTGGGTAGATGCATATGTACTGTACCAGCCTTTTTGGTTTTACTACTTAAAGGCAGCTCTTAAAATGCTGGTTCCTATCTGCACTTACTGAAGCACCTGAATGCTGTGGCAGAATTAATTGGAAGAACTGCAGAAGCCTTATTCTGTACTGTATATACAGACTCTATCAGATCTAAAGGAAAAATAAAGGAAAAAATAAAATATCATAAATGTTATGTCACTAGATACTGTATCTTGAGCAAAATAAGAAACAAATGAAAAAGACTACTTAGAAGTCATTTCATTTATCATCTGTGAGGCCTCTGCTCTTATTGCCAGGAGCCTGTCACATCACCATTTGAACATGTGTATCTGCCTCTTACACCATGATGGATTTCAAAGGTCTTATTAGTTTTTCCAAACAGCACACATACAGTACTCACTTAGGAGCCAGGCAAGCTTATGCTTCTGTAGCACTTAGCAGCTGTTTCAGACGAGTCTGACGTGTGTTACGTGAATAGAGCTCTGACCCAAAGTTGCAAAGAGGGGTGCATGCTTAGTGTTTCCAGCTGAAAGATGGGGTTTAAAGCTCTCGCCATCACTGTTGTGAGGGAAAGGGTGAAAAGGCTAAAAGCAGCAGCATGAGTAAGACATAGTATGTAGCTGAAGATTCATTTATTGTCTTCTATACATGAGACTGAAAAAAGGGGAAAAAAGAGAATATTTTATCATTGCACCAAGGGTAAAAAGTGAAACGAAGAAAAAAAGCAAGTTTCCAGTCTTTCGTAGATTGCAAAAGCAGGATCTGCACAACTATATCTTTTGTTTGTTTGTTTTTTTTTAATTTTGAATTCATTTTAACCCCTGCTATCTTGTTGCCTTTTGTTGTTGAATCCTTACAAGAGCAAGTCTCCTTTGAAGGCTAGTTCTTTTAAGGGTTTTTTTCTCAAACTGAGCTGCCATTAGGGGTTGCCTTGCTAAAACAAAATATATTTTTAAGAAATCTGGAAAGTCAGGGTGTACACACTAGGCTGTTTCTGCCTGCCTAATGGTGCTTGTACTGTATGTCGTTCCCAGAGCTGTGACCTTCCTCAGCAGAGTACGGTCCATGTGGTCCTGTGCTCTTCCTCACACACCGAGAAGCCAGACAGCGGGGGAGCCAGCGGTGGGGCCCTTCAGAGGCCACTGCCCCAGGGGGTGGACAGTCTGACCCGAGTGGACCTCAGCACCTCCCGGCTGCCCGCTCACTCAGCTGGACTGGCTGCCATTCTGGAGGATGAAGACCTGAGCCTGCCTGCTGGGCCTGGTCCCACAGGTACTCAGACATTCGCTACCATGCACTGCAGCTGACTCTGACAGCCAACCCAGCAGTTGATTTGAATAACGATTTGTAAGAAGGAACCTAGAAAATGTGCAAAAGAGGCGAGACCTTTGGGCCCATCTACTGTAGATTGATTGCTTGCTGGTAACTCATTGATCGGAGGATCTTATCCAGGTGTTTCTTGAAAGAAATTGTGGTATCAGCTTTGATAACATGTCTGGATTCTGGATTTCGGACTCCCACAACCATTTGTGCAAAAAGTATCTACTGGTCTCAGTTTTAAAATCATGTAATGTGCATCACATGTTTACCTGAGTTACCCAGCGCACCAGTATGTGTTGTATTGACATTTCGATGGTGAAAAGGGATGTCATGTTTCACCAAGTTTCACCAAATTTAAAAACAAAACATGAAATCTTGTATACAAAGTGTATTCTGAAGCAGCATAGAATTTCTGTTTTTTATCTTAAATGTTACTAATTTCTGATTTACTACTGTACCTCTTGTGTCGACAGCAAGCTCTTGATTGATGATTATAATTAAGAGGCACCAAGATCTGTAAATCTCTAGGGTGGTGTTGTGGGGGGGGGCTATCTGGAGCAGTGGTTCCCAAGCTTTTTGTGTGTGTGTGTGGACTGCTCATCAAAGTCCGACAATTCTCTCTTTGTTGTTTTTTAGATTCTGTTATTTATAGAAATCTGGCATATGTACACAGAACTAATGTGCACATCTGGAATGTGCACACCTTAATTAAAGTGAAATCCATTATCTCAACAAATGTATTTGCTTGCACAGCAGTGCATTTGTGTAAATGTACTGTACGTTACTTGGTGAGATGGCTGGTACTCCAGGGACAGGATGGCATGTTAGAGCACAGGTTTAGCCTGTGACCCCCTGGAAGACAGCAGGAGGGCTTGGGCGGTATTGGAACTGCACTGTTAACTGGTATAGTACGTAGTTGTGCCACCAGGTGATTGTACACCCATATATAATATGTGAAAATCCACAAACAAAACATGTAACATATAATTCTGGAATTTCTACCTGATACAGGAGTGCACCAGTTAGTATTGGTGTTGTTGATACTGGAAGCAATGTCTGTGTAAACCAATATAAACTAAAATTAACTTATTTAGAAATGCTGCCATTCAGGTGCTGTATACAATATGGACAAATACAGAATGCATATTTAGTTTATATATAAGAAAAAACAAAGTTACTGTTTATTTGCCATGTGAACTACAGAAAATGATTGCATCTGAAGAATATGAAAGGCTTATATTAATTTCCATTATATTAATGTCATCACAGGCATTTATCACACACAAACAAAAACATAAAATAACACTTGCATTAGTACAAGTAATAAAGAGGTTTTGCAAAAAATAAATTCCAATCTGATTTTCTACATATTGTGACTCCTAACCAAATTTTAAACTCTGGTGAGATGCAGGCATCAATATCAAGTACATTATTCTAACAAATGTACATTATTAGCCAAAACAACAGAAACTGCTGATAGCAGATATCTTAGCTGAACCCTTTTATTGGCATCAGTATATTACTACTCTGTTGTAAACAACAAAAGTCCATTGTCGGTTTTCAGAAAAGAAAAAAAGAAGGGTGCTACTGTGTTTCAGCTAGAAAATGTCTCCTTTCCCTTAGTTATCTACTGTAGGTTTTCCAGCATATACTGTACAGTAGTTCAGTACTCTACGGACTGTGTACTGTAGAATATATTTCACTCTTTCACAGGCCATAAATTTTATTCTAATGCAGCCATGGTTGCAATTGCTATAGATGAGGAAATACAGAAAGATTTTAGCCTTCAGGTTCATTAAGGACATTGTGAAGTTGCTGGCCTTCCTGATGACACCTTTTTTCAGTTCTGTGTCCTACATTTGTCCCTTTTCATGTTCAGCTTCACTCCAGTCATTCTAGTTAGATTCTTTACTCAAGTCAGAAAATATCCTTTATTTAACCTCCTTTAATATCGACTGTAGTGTTTTTTTTTACTTTTAAAGCATTAGCATAACAGAACCTTTTCATTAAAATGATAAATTAGACAGAGTTCAAGTTATAAAATCCAGTTGGGTGGATTTATTGTGAATTGTGTCAAAAGATCATCAGTTTCTCCTTCATCCCAGGCTTTTAACTCTAATGAGAGACCAGCATTTTCTTTTTTATTGCAGCTATTTTCTATATTGCAAGACTACTTCGGTGAAAACAGAGATGTAGGAATTATTAGTTGCAGCATAGTGGGAGTGCCCATCTTAACTTGACTTAATTATCTGTCATGAAGATGTCTAATTACTTAATTGTTTCAAGCTGTTCCTTACTAATTGGAGCCGATGCCAGTGGCTGGATCCGACACGTCTTTTGAATACATGCTGCTGTGAAAAGGAAGTGTCACTTTTTGTCTTAAGATTGACAGCAGGTTGTAGGCATTTTAACATATTGTGTAGTAAAATTAAAAAATAAAACAACAACAGGTTCCGTGGACAGGACTTCAAGCAAAGACATTGCGTTGAGTCAGAAAATGATCTGAATCACATCTTGAACTGGATCATTTTGATTCCTGTTTAATGAGTTCTGGTGGTAGCAGCAGTTTCCCAGTCCCTCATTAGAATTAATAGGGTTGATAGATGTTTTACGATGCGGTGGTATAAAGCCATTAATCTGCCTATCCACAGGAACGAGTTCAGGGCATGGCAGAACTACTGGGCTACACTTTAAGGGATTCATGTTTTTGGAAGACTGTGCATAAATATTGAAGAGATCTGTGCTGTCTTACAATGCAGTTTGTATCTCCTGAATCTCATGACATTGTATATCCTATATAGAGCATATGAGAAATAATGCCAAAAGTAAATAACAGTACAGTATACTGTAGGTTTGGTTCATATACTGTATATGCTGTTTTTGTGCTGACGTTGTGATAGCAAATCAAGACATGGTTGGGGTGTGCCGAATGCCAGGTTTTCCATTCCTTTATTTCACCTCAGTGTTACCTTTCTAAATAGCTACTGTAAATAGCATAGAAAGGCGCTGGAGTGTATATGTGCTGCTTATGTCATTTCTGGAATTATTTTTTAAAGAACCTCCCAGTAAACGCCAGCTATGATGTCTTTAGTTGGTTGCACACAAAGCTTGGAAATTCAAACACAAATAGATTGTGCTATAATGCTTTAAGGGGAGGGTTGCTGAATGTTTCTATATTTATATCTTTAGCAGATCAGTGCAGTATCATTCACATGGTTTTATACAATAAAATGTGTCCTATTCCTTACTACCATGTGTAGTCCATGTGTAGTTTGAAAATAAAAAAAATAAGAATGAGAGTACTGTAAGTGGGAAGTCCCTATAAATATAGAAATAGAAATGTTTGCTTCTGTGTCTCTCTGTGATTGGGGGGAGTGTTTATGTGGAACGTTTTCTTGAGGTTACAATTTTTTAATGTTTAACATTTATTGAAAATGAACTTCCCAATGGGAATATCAACGACAGAAAAACCGCTAGCAGGTAATGCAGTGAATCCTAATCAGGAGAAAACTGTTTACTTTCTATTATTATTTGTTAAACAATTGCTTTTCAAATTGAAGTGTCTAGAAAGATTAACATCGTAATTGGGGCAATGAAGTGATCAGGCAAATTAATTGCATTAATTTATAGTGCATTAGAATAAACAGGGTAATTGTTTTTAGTTATACTAATACATTGCATCAGTTTATGCTAAGCTAATTGTGCAACAAACACTTTTTCCTTACTTCTGTTAATAGATTCAAGACCTCACAGCAGCTTTTACGTGTTCTGCAAAAGTGTTTGCAAGTCTGTTCAGCCTGGGAAGTTGAGAGTATGGTGCCACAAATGCAAGCAAGGGACTCTGACTCTGAGCAGGGTAAGACTTTCGATTCTACCAGTTCAGCAGCACTGAAAAGAGAAAGTATGTTATAAAAGTTATGAAAAATACTTTTAGAATTTGTTTCCTTATTCTTAAACTGTCTACTCATTAGGCTTAACAAATAAAATAGGAATGACAATAGATTTTGGGCAAGGCATATGACGTTATTTCTCTTCACATATGCAGCAGTTTTTATTCCTCTGCTTTGCACAGTGAATACATGTTAAGAAACAGAGGGCAGATGTACTGTAGGTACAGGTTTTCCCTGTGTCTTTGTCATTTGTTTTTTTTCTGCTTACATATGTAAGAAGAGCAAGAGAAAACAGTTACAGCAGGACTGAGAGAAGAAAGTCATGACTCCTGAAAAAAACTCAAATGTCTGGCTTTGCATGACGTGTCTATAAGTGTTGTCATGGCAGTTGACATTTCTTATTGTGTTTGTGTGATTAACCAGAATTTTCATTAGTTTCTTATGTTTCTTTCACAGTCTTTTAAGTATTGCAATCTTGAAGCTTTCTGTTCCATTTTAAAGCTAGCTGCAAATGTGAATTATTTTTTGAAGCATTTCTTTGTGCTGAAAATTAATCAGTCTGTCAATTTTGTCCCTTTGTTTCAGCAATGTTGGTACCCTAGGTACCCTTGTATACTTAGTCTTTTCAAGAAGCTTGAGCAGAGCTCCAAGGAGTATGTGCTGGCGGGTTATGGAGATCAATTTATGCTGATAATTCATTGATAATTCACACAGTATGAATGCATCTGTGAAAGCAGATAAAATATGAACTATTTTCTGTTTTATGGAAAACTAAATAGGGTAAATATGCAGTATTTTGTCCTTTGAACTAGGGAACAGATTATAGATAAAATGTAATAGCATCATAATCCATAACAGAAGCAGTTTCTGAATTAGCAAACATTGCCTTTTTTTCACAGCTTTTTATATAAGATTTTTTTTCTGTCAATACATTTTAAGAATTTAAGTTTTTCTTGTAGTTCCTCAATCTACCAAGCCTGATTTTATGAACAAATGAAGGTTTTGCCTAATCCCGTTTTACAGCTGCTCGGTCTGTATCTGCAGGTTAAATTGAGTACTTGTTACTCGGGGGCCACATGAGAATTATTTTGAGTCTCCTCTTACCACAGGTTTAAAGAATAGAAAGCACACACAAGCACTCACACTTGAGTACACAAAAGGGCATGATGTATAACAGTTCCTAGCATTTACATTTCTTCCTAACATCTGCAATGCATTTCCAGTACTGTTTTCTGTTTTGCAAAAGATCTTGAAAGACAACTCCTTTTTACTTGATTTCCCCCACCCACAGAGTCTTAAAGACACATGATTATACAGGTGTCAGTCTTAAAAATGTGTCTGCATACATCCCTGACTGCCAGCTGCATTTTATTTTTAAAGTCTGGTACTTTACTGGTGAAAAAGTACATTGAAACATGTATCTAGATATTGTGTAGCTTTAACTCCTAACTACTCCTAACTGAGGAAGAACAAAATTCAGAAAACTAAAAAGCTTAACTTTTCCAAATGAAACTGTGTTTTCTAACAAAACCCAGAGTGGCACAGATTATTCTCTTTTCTGCAATAAGATAAACCCTTTGTAAAGTTAACTAGAATGTAGTAAAAATATAAATGATAACTTATACTGTACATAAAGTCCACTTATCATTACTTCCTTACCATTTGTAGCTGGGCAAAACCTTGAAGGAATCAAACCATACTGACAAATAAGTGGTCAACTGACATTTCTGAACCTGAAATTAAAACTACACATTTCACCTTGCATCATACAGTGCCGAGCTATTTTCCAACTGCCACAAATGTTTCCTTCTGGAATGAGCACCATTTATGCCGAGAGCTGTCTGTCTTCTCGAGACAGTGAGACAAAGCTAAATGTTACAGAAGGTGGATCAAACTGTCCGTCTCGTATTGTTTGTATAAGCTTGGCCCTGCGAAGGCTTCCTACTCTTTATTCCTTCTGTTGTCTCCAGCCAGATAACTTGAAGCCCTTTAGATGTTTTTTTTCTATTATCCTATTAATCCCCTCACACTCTCTTCTGATAAGCCACTCAGTGAAACGCTAAAGTGCTCTTAGACATTCAAAGTGCTGTAGAATAACTTCTTGACTTCATTAAACATTTCCCCTAAGTCTTGACTGTGTATCCTAACATTTTTTTAAGCAATATAAAGGCAGGTAAAGGCAAAACAGACTGAAAGAACTAAATTCTTTTTAGGGGCTGATACAAGCACTCAGAATCTTCAAAAGCATTGACAACGTCCAACCAGTTGACTTCTTTAGAATAAATAGTCTAACATGAGCCACAGGGTACAAGTAGAAACTACTGTACATACTGTAGAAGCACATTTAAAACTGAGAACAGTAGGCACTTGTTTACTCAGTGGGTTGTGAGAGTCTGGAACAAGTTACCCAGCCATATTGTTGAAGCTTCTTTTAAGAAACAGCTAGTTGAGATCCTTGCATCAGTTTGCTACTAACTACCAGATAGATGAATGGCCTCCTCTCATTTGTAACAATTCTTGTGTTCTTATTTTATTATTGTTGTAGTGCTTGCTCTTTTCAGTCTAGACATGAAATTCACAAAGGATACAGTTCATTTTCTCTTGGGTTATATGATGTCCAGAGTAACTGTGCCTTGCCTGATGCAGTTTTCTTTTTCAAAGAAAACTGACTGAATGAATTTGTCAGAAAGGTGGAATACAAGAAGTGACTTGCTCACGTGATATGATGTGTTGCATTTCTTAAGCAGAAACGTAATTAAAGTTTAGGGATCAAGCTGTTGACTTTATAAAGGAAGGAGTATGTTAACAATGAGAAGTGTGTTGTGAATTATTCATTAATCTGCTCATTAATCATTTACATTCAGCGAAGGTGGTTTTTTGTTCAGCAGAATGCAGTGAGTATGGGTGACCTTTAGCTGCTGTTGTAATGCAGGTGCTGCTAATTCTAATCTTCATGCACTAACAGTGAGAGCTTGGATGCAGGTTTGCTAAATTAATGCATATTGAGAGTCTATCACTGCATGTGGTAAAGTAATGATTTTTTTTAACCTTTCAGAAGCTTATTAAGGTGCCTGTCAAAATGTTTAAATGCTTATGCTAATCAGGCACTGAAGAAAGACATAGCATGGAAGGAAAAATTACCCTGTGCCAATTATAGCTAACACAACATCTTGATTGCAATATAAAAAATGTTTGCATGTTGCCATTGTATTTTTAATTACCCATGATTTTTGTGTAGTAGGCGTGTTGTTCTCAGAATTGCCCATAGCCAGCCCTTAAAACATATCCTTTTTGCTTGCATTCCTGTAACATACACAACCCCCCGGTAAGAGACTTCTTTTTTATCAATAGACATGTTACTCAGGGCATGCATAATTTCAAATTCAAGTCACAGAATTTGAATTATTCAAAGAGCATCTTAATTTGGGAAAAAAAACTGAACAACAACATCAACAAAAACATCTGGCATGGTTTCTTTAGGACTATAATCCTTTGGAGCCTGCACCGCACGTAAAGAAAAGCATGGATTGTACTGACTGCAGCAGCAGTTGTAAGAAGTATTCAGTGCTCCACCTGGTAGCGTCTCATTCCCCTGGGCTTCTGACTTCTTATTGTGAATTCATTGGAAGTACATTAAATTATAAAATTTATCAGTTACTGTAACCAAAATGTATCGTTGTTTCAACCACTGCTGACCTAGCATTTAAGGATTAAAACTCACACTTTTTACCCACTGGAACACAATACGTTCCTCTTTGACACTGCTTTTGTCAAATTTTACATTTATCATGTTGTCATTGTAAAGCGTCTTTAGTGCTTTCCTTTATGCAGTACATCACCACTTATTTTTTTCTTCCTTTTCTGTACAGTGATACACACACCACATCAAAAGAATTAAAATAAAGGTATCGTGAAAAAGGATGTTTTTAATACTGTGCATAGAGCATCAGTGATGGCTTGCTAAAACAAAAGCAAAGAAGAAGTGCGCTATTATTTGGTAGTAGCCATTTTCAGTTTTGCCTTTTGTTCTACAAAAACATTAGAGGAAGAGACAGAAGCAAGTTATGAACCATTTACTTGAGCAAACACCAGCCAAATAATCTTACTGTAGCGGAGGCGCTCCAGTGGAACTGGTGGCACTATGATATGGAGCCTATCTGGGTGCCTGGAGTGGAGCGATAAGAGTCTTAGGTCCAGCCTGTACTCATGCAGTGGAATTTGTTACATTGTAAAGCTGTAATCTGCTCCCACAATAGGTTTGATCATACAGAATTCACCCCTGGCAGCTGATAGAAACTGAGGTTACTACTTTTTATTCTGAATCAAAAACAGGATTGAAGATGGCGACAGCTGAGTGGCTGTTATGAGAATCAGGGAGCTGCCCTATTACTATACTAAGACTGCATCTTGGGGAGGTTTTAAATTAACAGTCAGAGATGGTTTAAAAAAAAAAGTGACTCCAAAAAAAAAAGTTCTGTAGTGCGCCCAGTGTTGCTCAATGTCATTCACTGATTTAATGAACTGTTTTTCACTGTTTAAAAAAAACAAAAAACGTTTTTTAATGAAGAAACCTCCATTCACTCCCCCTGTTTTGGGTGCACTATGGAATATCAGGAAAACGGGTTGTCAGAATCGATGATGGATATAACGAAGGCACAAACAGGCTCTCTTCAGCAGTCTCGGAGTCGAAGTGTTTTGAAGATCAAAACAAATGTCTTTGTCATTTTCCATATGAGAATTGAGTGTTTTTAAAAAATTTAGTTGGCATTATCCCCTGTTATTGTTTTTCCTTTTATGAGAGATTATAGCACTTTCTGAATCTGTCTCTGTCACAATTCATGAAGGCATGTTCACCATGGTTTTCCCAATAGATATACAAAAGTATCATAATTCCTAGCCCATCATTTCGAGTGCTTGTTTGAAATGACTGTGGCAAGCTGGGATGCCTAGGTGATGGTTATGGAAATAAAAAGGAAATCAATAAGCATTTTAGCTGCATGGGCTAGAAGTATCACCCTCTGAAAAAACTGCTTAAGTAGGAAAGGAATCAAAATAAAACCATTCAAGACACTGTATGCTCATGAGGACATGAAGATTTGCATATCTTATAATTCTGATTTGCAGCAATGCATTCCAGATCCCATCTTTATATTTCAGAAAAAAAAAACTTAAACCATGAAGCCACTGACTCCCAAATGCACAAGACATTCCAAGTGATGTGGTATTTAAGGTATACGAGAAAATCAATGGTGAAACCCACATGCAGTAATAGTATCAATGTTTTGATGTTGTGAATTGCCTGCTTTAAGTGGAGGTAGTGGAACTACAGTATCCAGATTGAATTTTCCTAATGAATTTTAGTGCAAAACGTCATAACAAGTCCAATCCTAAAGACTCTAAACTGGCGGATTTTGTAAAATGATCTAAAAATGCTTTCCTCAATACCTGGATATGATAATTGTTGATATTTCTCAATTTGTTAAAACAGGCTATATTAAACTGCAGTTGTTTAGTTAAGAGATAATGAAAACCCCTAGCTTCTCTTTAAAGTATTTAGTTCTATAGTATCGGCTGAAGACAAGTTAGTCTAGATAAAACAGAAAAAAAATGTTTCTTATAACAGCAGATATTGTGTGTGGAGTCTTTAATTGGTTGTAGAATTAGCATGCTCATTCTGTCAATCACAATCATTAGGGTTTAGATCATTCAGGCATTTAATTGAGCATCTGAAAAAGAAACTGATTTAGACAGAGACATTGTAAGGATCATTGCCTAACAGATGGAGGATGGAAGCTCTGGGTTTCTGTCCACAGTTCCCAGTGACATTACATCATAAAATGTTAAATGACCTCGGACATGAATGACTTACAATCACTACACACTTAGTCTCTGTGTTTAAAAGGAACAGAATCGAATAATTAAAATTTGGAATCATAGATATTATTCATTTTACTGTATATACATTTTACTGTATATCCACCTTGCTTGGAATGGAGCTTTGGATAGGCAATCACTTGACATCCCAAAGAGTAATTTAGCTCAGTCACTGGGGTAACACCCCAACTCTTACAAACAGAGCCATGCGATCTTTAAGGACCAACTAGTCAAGGTCGCTACTTGGGCAACACCTCCTACAACACAAACCACATTTTGTCCCAGAGCGAGCAGTGCTACTTACTGGTGATCTATCAACAACACTTACAGTACAGCAATGACTTTGATTTTTCTTAGATGTCTCCCATTCCACTACTAACCAGGCTCAGACCTTCTTAGCTTCTGTGATCTGACAAGATCAGGCTACAAGGAGGTAATGCTGCTCCAGTGGATGAGTGTCTTGTCTTTCACTGATGTTACTGGAAGTTTGCAGCTACTAAACGGATCTCAGGAGCCACTTTTGTGCAGGGGATCCCACCCAAACCAGCAAAGCTAAGCCAGTTACGTGCTGCTGCTTAGGGAATTGTGGTCACATTGGTGAAATAGCATTGCCAAGAAGCTAGCAACACAGGATGTGAACTGCACAACTAATGAAATCAATAATGTTATCACTATGGAATGGCACTACTGAGTTGTTTAACAATTTAGAAACAATGGTCAACACCTGGCTAGTGTCCTAGTGTCAACATGCTTCTTGTTTGTAAATAGAATAACTTGCATTTTTATGTTGTGTCTTATTTAGTGTATCATTGTTATCAATTATTCGCATAATTACTACAATTTAGGGGTTACGGTTATATATTTTATGTATTAATTAATCCTCGTGGTCTATTTGTAGTAAATCCCCTTTTTCGTAAGTCCCTATATGTCACAGTATGCACAACATTGTTTCCTGTATCCATCGGTTTTGTTTTTAATGCCTTTCACTACGTAAGACGAATGGATTGAAACAAGAGGAGGGCACTTAATCCATCTAGCCCAAAATAATTTACAATTGTCATAATCTCTGTTGATCTGGGAGTGCTCTTAATCCTTTTTTGTGTTTGTCGGTCTTCATTTTTCACCTTAGTTGATCAACCTCCCCCTCCAACCAGTTAGAGCTTTAGAAGGTTTATTTATGTTGTGTTTTTTGGTTATTTTTTGATGGCTCTGTATAAGATGTCAGAATTCCATTGGGAGCTTCTTTATCATGTGGGTTTCTATATTTCATTCTGTATGATCTTATGGCCTGTTAGGTGTTTATTGTGCTCTGAGTTCAGCTAACACTTTATCGTCCTTCGTTACTTTCGTTTTGCTTTCTGGGTTTGTTTTCAACAGATTATGTACGGTATGTCCCATCTGGAGCGTTGTTTTTCTCTGTCTTCTTTATGCCTTTGCTTAGCAGCACAGTTAGCCACTAGAGAGATGGTGAGCCACATAAGGATACTTTTCTCATTCATTCGTAGCCGAATATAAAGCTCTGTTTCCTTCAAGAGCACTGTTGCTTACTAGTTTCTGTAAAGTGCAAGTGTATCGTAGATAAAGTTGTTGGCTTGTCTCTGGGGAGGTTTGTCTTATGGATTTGCAAGTTATGTTGCAGGCTTTCTCCCTTCAAAAAAAGGTCTTTAAGCCATGCATTCCAGATTCAGTCCCTTGAGTCACTGATACTTGACTCAGGCTGCCTTTCTCGGTGGGTATCCATTTAGCTTCACAGAGTTGCTGTTTGTGCCTGTAACACTTTGAAGTAGCAGTAGTTTTTTTCCTTATTTTATTTCAGCTTCTCGCATTGAGTGAGAACTGACTTATTGATTTAAAATTTCTTCTTCTCTTTTATATTTAAGGAATAATCATGAACCATAGGCAGGTTAAAGCACAAAATGTGGATTGGCAAAGTCTATACTGTAGCATTACATTGAATAACTAAAATGCATAATAGTAGAGACATACAGTGTGTTCAGTAATGAGTGACTGGAGTCATGAGACCATAGTTTACAGTCAGGCTGTTAATTTATTTAACCTGTATCCCAGGCTATAGTAATGTTGCATTGGAACAAAAATGCCTGCATTAAGGCAGTGACTTTTGTCTGGTTGCTTTTCATTTTTTTTATCATAATATTCAGAAAAGTATTCAGCTTTCTTCTTCCTGTATTATCATTTTAAGCACAGCCTCCCCTGCCGAAGTAATTTTTTTCTGCATTATGTTCCTTATTGCTCGCATTTGAGAGTAATAGATAAGTGCCTGTTCACACTGAGAGAGAACAGGCTGACCTTGTGTCTCATTTTTGCAGGGCCCTTCATGCTGGGATGATGTACTCCTACCAAACAGGATACCTGGAGTCTGCCAGTCTCAGGACTGCGATGGGAGTGTGGCAGTAAGTGAACAGAGTACAAATATATGCTTCACACTGTGGATTTAAAATATATCATGCTACCCAGTCAAATATTTTAATATCTGTTATTTTTATTTTGCATAAACAATTTGTGAGTTAATGTATTTCTTTTGCACTCTTCCATGCTGGGCAGTTTTCGGCAGTTAACAACTCTTCAGCTCTTTGTGACATAGTTTAATCATGCTATTCTCAACCTAACAATCCTTTTCTGTGCTTATCTATTAAATATTATGCTGAGCTGGGCTTTTGCTATTTCCCATTTGCTTAGACACTTTTGCAGATGCATTTTGACAAATTGAATTCCTTTCTGGAAATAAAATTCAAGAAGTGTGTGAGCTCAAACACTGATTATAGAGATGGTGTTTGGTGATTGATGTCTATGTGTACATTTACTGACCCTTTTCTGCTTATATGAATTATGATGACCTTGTCAAAAGTATATTTCTGTACACTATCTTGCACTAATACTGCGATAGATGTGTTTGGATTTATAGAGGAGAAAAAGAAATGCAACATTGTGTTCTATGTATTTATGTAGTCCAGTCTTTAAGTTCTTGAATCTAAACTAGAGGTTACTATTTTTCCATTTGTATTATGTATATGCTAGTAGATTAAAATTGTATTGTACTAAAGCTCACAGCAAGTGAAAATGTATTTTTAGATGTAGAAACTACTGTACTGTATGTGTAAAGTCTTCTCTATTATAAATGTTGTCTATAGTGTACATCGCCACTAAACGAATGCTCATGTTGTGAATTTAAAGGCAACGTACAGGAAGGGCATTATCAGGAATTGTAGATGTATTTTGAGGTCATGTCTTAACCTTAAAAGTGTTTTTTTGCTGGGAATATTATAGATACAGTGCATTCAGTTTTACCTTTAAATTTGTAACCTCAGACTCTGAGAGTTGAAGTGTGGCTAATTCACATACTGTACTGTATTTGTCAAAGTTCATTTTTCACATATATCACTTTTTGATGTTAAATTGTTTTTTAACAAGCACAGGGTATGTAAGCTTCTATAGTATTTAGCACTTAGAGTGATAACTGACATTCAGAAAGTGAGAACACAACTTTCAGTTTCCCAGTTAAATAGGAATACAGAACCTTTCAAGTGTAACACTTTGGTGTAAACATTCACATGTTTTGCTAGAAAGGGTTTTGCTGGAGTGCCCATGTTGTGGATAGTGAATAATTTCTCAAAGGCTAAATAAACACTTCTCAGCAAAACATAGGGCATTGGACTTCCATACCAGTGTCTGAATGTCTTGTATCTGTCCATTCACACTGATACTGTGCATTTTGTGCAGAAGAACTTGAGAGATCTTTTTTATATCTGTTCAGGAGTCAATAATTCAGAACTCAAAACTGAAAAATAAATGACTGCATGGACATTGAATGTACAGTACGTGTCATAGTACATCTACAAAACAATTGATAATTGTTTTTTAATGGTTTCATTTTGTTTATTTTAAAATGTATAATTTACATATTGTTATATTAGTCCAACAAGTGCCTTGGGCAGTGCCTTGTAAGTTGGCTCTCAGTACTAAGAAAAAAAACTTCTCACTCAACTCACTTGAGAAGGAATTCCTTTTTCCTGATGCGATTGTGGTGCCATCGCAGCTGCCTAATTTCACTGGAAGCCTGTTGCCATTGAGGAGACATACTGTAAACATCCTTGGATTTTTTTTTAATCAGTCCTAATTTCTGAGTTATTGTGCAGATGAGCCGGTGTGCAGATAAAATAATAATTCATATTGATAAGAGGTTGTTGTACCTATCTACCTGGAAACATTGAAAGGACTTTGTAAAGATAAATTTAAGCACGCACCTCTGATAGCATTTTCCCGTTGTCCTGTAGGGTTTTGTTTTTGCTTTTATTATCTCCCCAGTGGTTAGTGTTTTGGTTATGCGGCAATTTGATCCCCCAGCAAGTTTGCAGTAATGTATTCTTTCCCTTCTTCTTTCACAAGGAAAATCTTCTTAGCTAATCATTAGTAAGACTGACCCACTGCCCTGTAAGGCAGATATTCAGAAACACTCAATTGAAAGGGTAACCTGTGGGTTACTAACTGACTGCAGGGTCTGTGGTGGAAATAACCTCAATTACTGATACAGCACAGTCTGCCCTGCCTCACCCACAGACAGGTTTAACTTCCATTAAAATATACTTACCAAACAGCAATGTGATCTTCTAGATATAGACTGCAGTTTTATTTCTGATCATACTGCACACTATACAACAGCAACACCTTTGTGGGACACCTTATGTAGAACATGTGCCCTATTTTCACACTTTTATAGACTTCATTCATTCATTGCATTATGCCATGCGTTTGTTTAGCTTTTTCATGGCTTGTATTATTTAGTTTATGATTTGCTATGATTCCAGTGTGCATCATTACATCATTTGAATTTGTATTGTGGTATACCAAGACAGTTTCTCTGATCTCCCAGGGTCTCATGGATATGTAAAAAATCTTCAGCTTGGATCCAGTCAGCAGTCAGGGGTGCTCAGGTGCTGGATGAGATTCCCTAGTTTCAGAACAAAGATGTTTTCCTTTCATGCTCTTGGAATTGTGATTCCATTCTCTCCTACATTCCAATTCAACCCAAATTCTGGTACCTTGAACGGGTAAAGTGTGTCATTTGTTTAATTTTATTTTCTGGAAGGAGTGTGTTTATGATAACAAGCTAGGGTAGCCTTGTAAGCGTTGACACTGCATCTCTGCCAGAGTTTCAGAAATACATTTTCTGGACATAAGGTGTCCAATAGTTGGAGCATAAGGTGACAAAAGATGAAAGAACTTTGTACCAACAAGGTAATTTATAATTTATTACTTAAAAAAAATAGGGTCAGGTTTCTATAATGAAAGCTTGCTTGGTGATATTGCTAAACCTCTCCAAGGTTTCTAAATCTTTTCACATTTACATATTTTCTGAAACATGATCTGAAGTATTTCCTTTTATTTCAAGTTTACAGTATGTTAATTTTGACTACAAGCAGTGGCATCTTTCTAGGTGTGCTTCAGAGGGGCCTTATTATTGCAGATGCCTAAGGCACTGTTCACAATATAACAAACATTTAAATGAATCTCCTCTCCTTTTTCTTTTCTTTTTTCCTGACTCATAGTGTAAATGACACTGAGCTATGTCCTGGCCCCTCAGCTTGATATTGAGCATTATCATTAGAAAAATACAACCACATTTTAACAGAAGAAGTTGACAGTTGCAGCATTATCCTCTGTAAAACGGCAAACAGGTGCCCAGAGCAGTCACTCACTGGCGCTGTTGAGTGACTTGTATGTCCGCTACTACTGTGGTCAGGCCTTTTCATTTTGCTTAATGCTGAAGAATATGTATGCTCTCTATCAAATTAAAATTGAATATATGTAGATATATTGGGGATTGATCAATTTGAAACGGTTGTGGGCTCAAAGGCAGAATAATAAGAGGCTGTAAAATAATTTGCATAATCTGTCTTGGCTTTTGGGATGGTTGTATAGAAATTATTTTTTAATTTAAAAAACTTTATTGTTCTTACATTTCATGTTGTTCATTATGATTTCATAAAGAGGTACGGTTTACAATTTACTGTATGTATTCTGACATATTTAGGATGAAACAGAAGTAGAAATGTAGAAATGCCATCCCATACAGAATGTTTTATGATACTGTCACACTGTACTGTTGCACCAGTGATATCAGTTTTTTTTTTAGTACATGTCCTTAACTGGGTCACTGTATAAGTATTTTTAAAATATCTGCCCCGTGGGTTTATTTGGGGGTGATAATTATGAGTCTGTCTGGGAAAGCAATGCTGTTGTCATTTTTCCCTGGGTTGTGTACAAAGTCGACTGCTGTCATTATCACTCCTGTTGCTTTTAAAGTCTCTAATGAGTGCAAACTGTCAGCTGTGTCAACTGTCTGTTATGTGGACTGTAGTCCACAAGGATCTAAGCTCGGGCTTCACAAGTCAATCCATTTTTGATCAAAGCTTTTGGAATGAAGACCTTGGGAGAAGAACAAAGAAGACTTAAAGCCATTTCTGCAACTTGTACTTCAGAAATTTGATATGGGGGAAAGTAATTCCAAAATAGTCTCAAATAGTAACTATGCATCAGTGTGTTTATTACCTAGAATGGTGAATGCAGGTCTTTGAAAAGGGGAGAAATTCGGGGAGAAACTGAAACACCCAGTTTAAGGCCACACAAACTCCACATACAGTAGATAGCATCCCAGGAAAGCATTGAACCGTCTTTACTGTGAATCAATGCAACTTAAATTGGTATTACTGGTCTTACATAAACTTAAGGGTCTCCAACCCTGAACCTGGAGAGCCCCAAATGTAGCAGGTTTATAGATCCCTGTTAAATAACTAATTTCTAAAGATCTGGAATAATTTAATTGTGATTAATTAAGCAGGTGATTTGTTAAATGAAGTAATTCGAAATCACATGGGGCCAAAATACTAGTACCCTTCTGCCTTCGAGGATCAAAGTTAATTAAATTGATCACTAACTCACAAGTGTTTCCAATCTTTTTAAATAGGCTGCGAAGACTAACTGTATTGGGTCTCTCCAGGTCTAGGGTTGGAGACTTTGTGTTAATGTTATATGGTAGGTTTTTTCACTTTCTTGTTTATTGTGGCTTATTGTGGGCATTCTGAGTGGTGATGCTGTTTAATGTTGATGCATTTTAACATACAGTTTTATGACAGGTGTTGCTGGCCTTACACTGTTGACGTCAAGCAATATGCTACACACACTTTTGGAAAATAATGCCAGGGAAGTTATAGAGGGTTTACAATGACAAAAAAGTTAACCCTGTGAATGTTGTATGGGGTCACTTAATTAAATCAGTATCATGTGATGCTGTGATTAAACAAGGTCAGTTATCTGGCTTTTCAAGAGTGTGGATAGCATACTGTATAATATTCAGAGTATAATGGTGGGCTAATCAACTAGAACTGGCATCTAAAGAGTTCTCCATAAGTATTGGGACAGTGAAGACAAAATTGCCATTTTTATTGTATACTCAAGCAATTTGGATTTCAGATAAAAAAGTTGAATATGAGACAAAAGTAAAAATATACCCTTTTATTGCTGTATATTTCTGTGTTTATATGTTGTGCCATTATAGAATAATAGGACTTCTTGTGTTCAATCCCCCCATTTCAGATGAGCACACAGTAAGTATTGGGACAATTGGCAATGAATGTCATGATTGCTCTTCCTTTTGGTGTCTGCCTTTGAAGTCAGTTATTGGCTTGATGCAGTTACTGCATTCAAAGGACTTTACTTAAAAAACTACTTTAATTGAATTCAAGTTAATGTGTCCCAGTAGTTAAGCTCATGGGGTGATGGAACACAAAAGTGGTATTATACTAAAACATTAAAACACACCATATATGCTCAGAAATATCCAGAAATAGAAGGTAACATTCTGTACTTTTGGCTTATATTAATCTCTTCATCTCAATATCCGAATCGCTATACAGCAAAAATAGCAATTCACATTACTGTCCACTGTATGTTGGCAGTGTTTCTTTAATGAGAACATTCTCTCTGGCATCTATCAAGGCAGTTGATATCAAAACCGTACACATGAGAGCCATAACAGTGAGCCTAGACTGTCTGTCATTCAGTGGACTTCTGTCATCGTCTTTACTTGTCAGTTTTCCACAGAGCTTACCAACATTCTTCTAACGCTGGTTCAGAACAATAACTGTGTTTTCATTCATGACTTGTTCCTCAGATATTTCCACATTTATTTTCATTCAGGTATTGCTCTGTGCAGTAAAAGCCATTGAGGATTTACTTTACATTGTAGAAAAGTTCTTATTTACTTACAGAGTTCCACTCGATTGTCAGTATTGTGCTGTATGTCAATATTAGAAATGGTTCCTGGTAATTTTTCCAGGTACTGTACCTGTTAATTTGTGCCCTTGTGGTTTTAATTGCACTAAATATACACATATTTTTCGGTTATTTTGTTCCCTTGATTAACACTTGATTTGTGAAATCTCTTTATAACAAAAGTGCTGGAAAAGCTCAGAAAATATTCTAGATAAATATTTATAATATATATTATTTATAAAGAACCTTTCCCAATTCAAGCACTATGCACTGTGCATAGTGATAAAGAAATAAAGGTCCAATAAAAAAATTAAAGTAAAAAATAAACAAGAGTATACAGGTTTATATGGAAAGAATGTAGGACAATCAGACATAGGCCCCAGTACAAATGTGAGTTTTGAGTCTGGATTTAAGAAAGTCAAAGAATTTTCTCTCATAAGGACAGGAAGAAAGGAAAGAAAATGATAAACATTCTATAACATGAAAAAAGTATAATAAACCTTCATTGAAAAACATTGTTTCAGGGAGTTGAAGGGAATTCAAGAATGTAAACTTAAACTGGCAAAAGGAAATGTCTGTGCCATTCAGCTAATGAATTTCCATCTGGTTCATTTTCTGGGCAGTGTGCCAGGTGTGCAATTGGTTTGGATCTAAAAATGTTTACAGAATACCTGATATGAAAGCCCACATTTATTTAAGTCATAGACATTACATTGTACATTTGATTAAGCCTTTTTTAATGAGGTGAAACAACATAATATTTAAAAAATACAAGGGTTGATGTATTGCATGTGTGCATGTGCAGCCAATGCTGCTGCCTGACTACAAGAAGGTGTCATGTATTCTCTTACAGTTGTTAGATAGATGTTCTTTCATCTTCAGTTAGTTTTCTTTGTCAGTTGTATTTACAGGTAAAAGCTCAAAGCACATACTGTAGACAAGAAAGTCTCTCTGAGACTTTACATTTATTTTGCGAAAGGGCATATGAATTAATAAATTATAAATCTAAATGACCTATTTCTTCAGCTGTGTAATACCATTCCTCTCAGTATCAGATAAGTGAACCCGTGTGAAATCTCCTCGAGTTTTGGTATTTATTCGGCAATACCTGAAAGTTCAGCTGTCTGATTTAGGACACTGAGGTTCGAAGTTATTACTAAACTTATTCCAATTGGAAATGTCTGTCAAGTCAGGCAAATTTGAATTTTTGTTGTATAATGTGAGAATTTGTTGAATTCAGTGAAAATTGGCACACTGGCGACAGTATAAAGGTGACAGTGATACAAAGATTTGAAATGGACAGTGGTTCTTACTGCTCATGGAGGCTGTTTTGTCTAAGGGCATGTATAGATTTGGGAATTTATGTTTACACTTCAGGTGTTGTGCTTTATGCAGTACTTCATTTGGAAATCATGGGGTACCGGAGATGAAGCCGACCTGGAGAGAGTGGATGTACAGTGTGCAGTGGTTGAACTGGAGGAGTTAACCATGACATGAGCATAATGTCAATTTAATGCACTTTCAAGTTACTGATTCTGAGCTAACAAATTCACAAGGTAAATTTACTTTAAAGAGTTTGTGTCACTGCATTGAAACTCGAATAGTGTAGAATTCTTCCCCTGAGACCATCAGCAGCAATGATTGAATCCCAGCAGGGGCAAAGCAAACTACAGTATATAAATTACTTAATGCTATATACTGTAGCCCATATTACAAAATATATCATTTTATTTTAAGGACACTGTACTGTCTTCTCAATTTACTCTTTATTTCGGAGGAAATGTGTTGTTGAATGTTTGAGCATGTGACATCAAAATGCAACATCCGTGCCCTATCAGTCTCTTCAATTCCTGACAATTAATTTAATGTCCAAAACCATAAGTGGATTAATGGCGTTTAGCCTCTTTGTTAGCTGTACAGAAAATCCTGTCTGTGGATGAAATTTGTTCAGTTTCACAGGTTAGTGCTCTGTGGTAAAGGGTCCTCTTTAGCTTTCTCTAAGCAAAATGCACCTTGGTTTTAGCATGTGCAACAAGCTTTGTCGTTAGAGCCCTTTGTGTGTTTTTTACAGCTGGACGAGAGGAGGTCAAAGTTCATGTTACCCACTCTTTAACCCATTTCATGTCCGATGTTTCCTCTGGACTTACAGAGCTTACCTTTCTACATGCTGTGCAGCAGAGCTTTGCTGTCTCTACAATTAGGTTTCATTGAATTTGAATTGTTCAGTGATCCAAATGGTCATAAGCGCCTGCATTTCATTACAGATTACTATGTACAGCTGAAGAGCCAAAACACTGTTTCCAGCCTTCAGCATTCACTGTACTTACTAACTGACCAACCTTAATACACTTACTGTGTGGTGAAATATATGTACTGTACACCCCCTTAAGATTTTATGGTTTAACATCATATTTCATTCTTATAAAAAAAAAGAGGCTGTGTGACTCTGTGGCTAAGGATCTGCGCCTGTGGCTGGAAGGTTGCCGGTTCAAATCCCAAGCCAGCAGTGGAATCCTACTCTGTTGGGCCCCCTGAGCAAGGCCCTTAACCCCAACTGCTCCAGGGGTGCCGTATAAATGGTATAAAAGCTTCTCTCCCTGTCTGTGTGTCTCACCCCAGACAGGGAGAGCAAGCTGGAGTACGCGAAAATACAAATTCCTAATGTAAGAAATTGTTATGGCTAATTAAGTGATCTTATATTTAGACATATTTAAGTTAGTCCTCAACAAGCCCTAATAGTAGATAAAACTAAACTGATTTGACAAATAACACACAAACACACAAATTTGTAACTAGTGGTACCCCCTTCAGCTGCAATAACTTGAATTATGTGTTTCCTGTAGAGATCTGTCAACTCTTACAATCTGAACCAGATACAAATCTTTATCAAAGAAAATAATGTATTCATGAAATAATTATAATGAAATAATAGTCGAAAATAACTCTAATGAAAACACATGTAGTCCCTGAACAAAAATGTATCTAAACTGACTGAAAATTTATAAATATTTCATCACATGAAAATCTGCTGTAGTCTTACTTCCAGCATTGTGCTTCTCTGCTGAGATTTATTTTGGCTCTTTTTGGTTAAGCTGAACAAAGCATTTAACCCTCTGTGGCATGTGGTGTGTGATTAAATATACATTATAGCCATGCTTGAATTAGGTCAGAAAATGTCCAGTGCACAGACCCAGCACATCTGCCCTTTTCATTTTTGCATACTAGTAGTTTTTGTTAAGACCAGGCACCTTTTAATAGGTCACAGAACTAAATTAAATCCCTAATAACTCTATCGTTTGCAGTTGCAATCACGTTAGGCTAAGAATTCATTTGATTACAACCTGCCCACTTTTAATCGTGTCCAGTGAACTTGTGCTCCTCAGCACACTGTACTATGCCTTCATGGCGATGCATAGGACACTACAAAAAAGGTTATTAAAAAGATATTTAGCATTTTTATAGTTCAGGTTACAAATGTAATAATTAATAATAATAATAATAATTGCTTACATTTATATAGCGCTTTTCTGGACACTCCACTCAAAGCGCTTTACAGGTAATGGGGACTCCACCACCACCAAGGTGCAGCATAAATTTATACTTAATACTAGTAACACAGGTATGGTTTCTTAATTCTTTTAATTACTGTAATACCTTGAGTTGAGACAATAAAGTATGTAGAGTTTTAGGTTTGTCTCCCGTCTAAGTATCTCAAAACTCCCAAGAGGAATTTCAGCCCATCTCTGAATATGTGAATCAGTTTTTCCCCAATTCATAAGATTACAGTAAATCCATGACAAAGTGACATATATCTGTCTTCACAGTTTGTCCCCAAAGGTGGGACTTCTCAGTTGGTTTGTTTTACCGACTTTAAGTTTTGCTTTTTAGATTGGAGAAATATTTTTTCCTCATCGAGCGCTGCACTATAGCGAAGGAGCGACTCTCAGTTGTTTCACCTCACTTTTCACTCTTGCAGGAGTTTTACCTGAAGTGTGGAGCCCACCCTACCTCCAGCAGTGATACCTCTGTAGCCCTGGACCTCATTACCCCAAACACAAGGAGGATCCCATGTATCACCTGTACTGAAGTGTTGTAAGTGTCCAGTTCATTCAGCCACAAAGCCTGAAGGGAGAGACGTATTGCTCTCCACTGAAGGGAAGTCATTAATGATGCCCAAAGCATGAACGTGAACAAATAAGCTCTACATTCCACCTAAGCAACATGATATGGTTAATTTTTTCTAGCATAATGCATCTATAGTTTAAAACAATTAATGAAATTAAGGTTATTTGTGGATCTAATCCAGACATTTCTTGTACATTTCCTGGGCAGTGGCTTCAGGAACGGGGCTTGGTACAATAGCTTGTTCCAGACACTACTGCAATTAATAACATCCTGTTCTCAGTTCTAAAACATTTTATCTTAACTTCTACTGATGGTCTTGTCCTCTTGTTTTGCTCCTGGAAATAAACTACTGTAATTTCGACTTCAGTAGAGTTGACTCTGTCCTTGTGTGCACTCCTCTGCATGCCACTTAAAAGTTGAAATTAATTTAACCTATCTGTGTATTATTAGAATTATTCTGACTATAGTCCCTCGAATTCTTTCTAAGGTAACAATGTCCTTTTATATAGTGTGGTAACCACAGCTGTATGCAGTACTCCAACTACAGGCTATAAGACGTAGAAAAACGTTAAATCTTAAATATTTCCTTTTGCCTAGTGTTTGAACTATTAAAAATGTAAAATATAAAGCCTCTAATAGCCTTGTAAATGTCAATTGTAATTGATTCTGACAGTGATAAACTGTCTCTTTAAGATAAATTGTCTTTTTTTTTAAAGTGGGGCTTTACAGTAGCATGAAATGTAATGTAGGGTAACATGAGTGCAGTCTTTCATGCTTTACAATTGGACCCCTGAGACTAACTTAAGACTTTTTCAAAGATGCATTAGATGTGACACAGCTACTTGCAATCATGTCGCTGTAGTTTTTGTGGAAAAGTATTTAATAGCTCAAGTGCTGTCTTGGGAACATTATTGCTCCTACTGATCCTATTAATTTAACCTTGTACATTTAAACATTTACAGACATTCAGAAAAACGAAATGCTGTTCTGCTAATCATAGTACATTTCACATTCACAGTTCTTTATACTGTGTTCATGTAACAGGGCCACAAGGTTGTGTTACTCGGGTCAAGCCTTCTCTGTGTGATTGTAACAGCAGTGGGCTTGTTTGCTTGTGTTCCAAGTTTCTAAAATGGTGACCTGATGTTTTTAAACACAGTCATTTTTAGACATTGTTTCACAAATAATTTTCAGTGAATGACTAGAATTCTAGTCTGTCCTTGGATGCAAATAATTATCTATTTTGGTTCATATCATAAAGACATTGAGAGCTATTCAGTGGTAACAATGATGGAATTATACACAATAAGCATGTTCTGCTTTGAAACAAATATATTTCTTTTTGGCCTTTTTTGTTAAAATGTATTAAACTGTGACAATTCATTCATTAGTTTTCTATTCACCTGAAAAGGAATTGGCTTAGCAGCAGTTACATGAGCAACACGCACTACTGTGAGCTATAACAGCTCTGGCTTATACAGTTCTGGACAATCATAACATGAGTCAGTCATTTATGAATTAACATTTTGGGATGCTGTTTCAAATGAAAAAGACCTTTCGTGTATTTTATTACCCTTATTATATGTCGTTAGTCTTATCTCCCTACCATTGTAACCAGTTTTTATGTACATTCATCCTCAGTTTATCAACAGTGAATGATACCCTTGTTTATTCATCTACTGTAGTAGTTGCTTGATCGCAATCCGCAATCTTCCTATAGTCTTACCGTAGCTTTATGACTAATGGTGGTCCTGAAACAAAATGCTTTGTTCATCTGTTCATTCACCATTTATGAATGTTTTTCGAAAACAAGTGAAAGCAATATTTAAAAAATCTAATCTTATATGTTAATCTATAGTGTACATCTAAAATGTATGCATCAATTACTTAAGTGCCAATTAACTATTGGTTTAATGGTGCCATGTCAATTAAAGCCTTTTTGCCAACCACATACAGTACAATATCTCTGGTGCACTGAAGAAGCATTTATAATCTATTTAGCCTGTAGTAAACAGTAAAACCGATGATCATATTTAAATAAGGATGGCTAATAGCATGTGCATGAGGTATTATAACATCTTTTAAGATTTCACTCTCATTTCTTTCAGTCATTGTGTGCTGTAAATTATCACCTCTCCTAAGGCCATGTTCAACTGTAGAACGATGATTTAATCAACATGAGTAAGTCCCCAGTAGTCAGCTGTTTGTTAATGGGAAAAGTTATGATCAGCACCTCAAGATTTGACCTTTTCTTGTGTAGGTTAAGTTAACAGTTTTCCTGTCATTAGCATGTGTTCCATGCTGATTGGGTAATAACAGTCCTGAATAATCAGGACACTGTGCCTTTGGAGTGCTATGGGCACAAACTGTATCTGTCTTTTTCCTATTACATTTGGAATCATCATGTGTTTAGTGTTGCAATCACCATCAAATCACATTACTGATGCAGTTCCTGTTCTGTATAGTTCTTGTTCTATATACTGTACATGTCATTTGACAATCTGGGACCTCCATAGTGCTGTACAGGAGAGTTAGTCCTGATTGGAGGAGATAGACATCCTTCCGTGATGTCACTCCCAGTTTGACAGTGCCCGGCATGTCTTTGAAATGGTATTGTGTGGTGAACCAACCTAACCCCATGTGCAGCAGATTATGTTTAAAAAAAAAAGAATTAAAACATTGTCCAGCAATAAAAGTGTTATACTGTTATCTATTTAATAGTATAACAGTTTACTTATTTTTCCCCCTGAAAAGCTTAATGATCTGATTGAAACTGCAATAAGAATGATAGCACAATAGCTACATTCTACAAGGAGATCTCAGATTAAATAGTACTTAATTGTACCATGAATAAAGTATTCATTATCATAATGATTTTATGCAGGTTGGTTTTGTTAGGAAAAACTAAGCCTGCTTTTTTATTTTTATGGTAATGTGTGATAAGCATTCATTAGCTAGCTGCATGGGGACGAGGTATGCTGGGCATTTCTTCTAAAGTGAAACAAAAAAGGAGAAAATGAGCTATTCACTGTCAGAAATTGCCCCTGAGCCTTCTGTTGCAGATGGAAAGGACTGGAGCATTTCATTTGATACACAGTTTAATTCACTGTTTCTATCTGGGAGGAAAAACTCCTTATGTTAAAGAGTGCTGTGGATCCAGGCTGCCCCAAGGTTGGCTCACAGCCCATTAATAATGCTTGTCATCCGGCCCCCTTCTGAATCAGCTTGACTATTTTATTCCCCCCGCGAGCTCCTTATCTAAACAAGATCAGTCTTCAAATCTTCCTGCATTTTTCCTGGGATTTTACCAACCATTTTCTGCAGGGATGCTGTCTGTCTTTAGCTGCTTTCTTGGGAATTTTCACCCATTACATTGATAAGGACACTTTTTACTGTTTATTGATCACATAAGCAGGAAGTATTATTATTATTATTTTTATTATTATTATTATTATTATTATTATTATTATTATTATTATTATTATTGTTGTTGTTGTTGTTGTTGTTTTTGTTAAAAAAACTAATTTCTCCCAAGTCCTTCCCTTGTGAAATTCCTGACATTGGTTAAATAACTCTGAAATTCATGGTGAAAGAAATTAAAGACAGCAGAAATACAAATTGCAAACCTTCACATCACAGCTGTACAGTCATTCAAAGATTGGGAATGTGGAAAGTGTGACAGAGACAAAACCAGTACTGACTACTGCCTTTAGTTTTCATTTAGGTTCTAAGTAGATTTACAGTAGGTAGATTTCTGCAATGTTATGAAAAAATGTAAATATATACTTAAAAAATAAATATTATCTACCATAAAATGATTATGATATGCATAGTTTATACGAAACAGTTCATTACATTTCCTGCCTGTTCTTTTATTGGTTTTACTTTCATTTTTGGTTATTCCGAAGCCTTCACTGTATTGTAAATTGCCTTTTTATGAATAGTGCACTTAAGAGTAAACTTTGGAATGCAGTTGCTTAGCAGCTATTATGTTAGAGTGCTGTTTAATGTGCCCTCATGGTTGGGAGATGGGAGATAGGAAAGTGCTCCCGATAACTTTATTTACATCACTAATATAACAGCTCTGATAAAGAATTCATTAAGGGTTATTATTGTGTCTTAATGCACTTTAGTATCCAATACTTTGCTAGAGTCCCTTGAGGAGAGAGTTATTCATTTATTCTTTGGACATATGAGACATATTCAATGCATATTGTGGTAAATGGAGTCAAATGTGAGGCTGTTAAATACTGGAGACTTGTGCATGCTGTATACTGTCATTGTTGGGATTTCTCACAGTTGTTTGTGGTTTGTTTGGGGCATATAGTGGCTAAGCAATATTCGGACAGAAGCCCTTATTAAATTTTATCTATGAAAATTGACCATAGGGCTTCTACAGTTTTACTGTGAGAATGCCGTGGTGGACTATATGAATTACGACTTATAAGTAATTATTGTGGCATTCCCATGTTTCAGTGTTGCAAAGCACAACAAATGTGTTTTCAAAACCATAGGGAAGTTATGTTAAAATCACAGTAAGAGTCTGGAAGTCCAATAGTAAATTCAAATTAAATTAAATGATAAAATTTTCATAAGCATGGGTTTGTAATGCTTTGGGATGAAACTTGTTTCTTAAGCTGCCTTGTGTCATTCCATCCTCTTTGTGAAAAATATCTCCTCTGGGGAGATTAGAAAGGTGTTCTGTGGCCTTCACAGCCCTGCGCCTTTGTCAGTTAATCCTGATGAATTAGTGTCTTTTTACAGGAGCAGTTGGCCAAAATGCCCTTTGGAGGGCTTTTACTGGGCAGGTTCAGTACTAGATAATTGCGATAACAGAAAGTGTTGCTCTTTGGCCACAATGAAATAGCTGTCCTTCTTAACACCCCGAGCTGAGCAGGAGGTCAGTTGCTATGAATTGACACAAATGTTGAATTGCATTAAAGGTGTTAGATTTAAAACCATACCATGGATTTACAATTTATTAAGTACTTTTTTATATCAGTTACTCAACATTATTTAAAGTTTAAAAAAAAGTTTTATTATTAATTCCAGCATAGTAAAAGGTTTGTCAAGCACATGTGAAATACACTGCACTTCCAGATAGTATTTAATGCACATGTAAATGAGAGTAGCATGTTTTACATGAGCTTGCACTGTCAGCCCTTGTTCATGACCACAATGTCCCTTGAATTCATTTGTAGGTGGTGCTGGATTTCACAGTTTTTCACAATTGCGTTATTTAAATAGCGCAGAGTACTCTGTAATTACAGTTTTCTCGTTATTTCTTTTGAGGGGTGGAATGCAGAACAACATGATTCATGGCCCATTGTGACCCCTAAGTCTTTTGGACAGAAACGTATATCATTTGCCTTGAAAGAAAAAGCTGTCTCTTTACATCTTTTTTTTTTCCCTGTGTTTTCTGTTTGGTTTCCCAGGAATCCTGTCTTGGTTTACCAGTGCCCAGACCGTCATGTTATCTGCCTTGACTGTTTCCATCTGTATTGTGTGACAAGGCTCAATGACCGCCAGTTTGTCCTTGATGGCCAGATTGGATACTCTTTGCCCTGTGTGGGTAAGTCTGCTCCAGTCACTAATAAAGTGACTAATGTCTGTCATCCCTCTTCATTCTGTGGACTGTCAAAGGTGAAGGAGACCCAGCACTGGAGACAGAAGACGGGTCTATCAGCTAAACAGGTAAAGATTAAGAAATGTTCTCAAAGTGCAGCTGCAGCTTGAATGATAAACAAGGCAAGAAATAAGACTTTTCATTCAGCGTTGCTGCTTGTTTCCTTTATAGACTGCCAATCTGACTTGACATTTGCTTTGTTAATTTATTATTATTAATTTAGGAAAGGCACAGATGCCATTGTTATCTCAATGATGCACAGCATTTTGGCGGTATTTTAATATTACTTTAGATATTAGAATACAGGAGTACATAATACCACAGTACTGAATTTATAGCATTATCCTTTTTAATGGATATTTTAATGAGATTTTATTTTATTCAGAGTAAGAAAGAACTGTTAATTTTTTATTCAGAGTGCTACATCAGAACAGCCTGCAGAGAGTACCAGGTTTTATGTACTTTAAATTTGTACGGGCAGTACAGGCTATAAAGTCACTGTGCAAGCTGTTTACCTTAAATGAAAGGCTACATTTTTTAAAGATGCAAAACATCGCCCTAATAAGAGTCACATCCACTTGTGGCATTTAGCGTTTAAGAACACAGCAGCAGCGGCATTCAGTGATTGATGACAGTGGTGGAACGACAGCACAGTGTGGAGATTGTATCAGACGCAATTGAACACAGACATACTCTCCCTGGTCACCTTGCTGCCCCATTGGCTCTGAGAATTTGTATCTGCCAGATGCCTGGCAGAAGGATGAGCATGTATCTATAGTGCACCTAGACAGTGAAGTCCATTCAGGAGTATGCTGTTTGTTTTAAAAATGGAAATGGAAACTAGGAAAAGATGCAAAACAAATGAATCCTTATTATGTATTCATAATAATCATATCTATACACCTAGAATGTAGCTTCTTTCATAAATTAGTGTGTTTTCTGTATGGCAGAGGTCCATATCAAGCATTCCCTAGTCAGAATAAGATACTGTAGGTTTTGGCAATTCAGTTATTAATGTAACAGAAATGCAGAAGTCAGTGTCAGCTCAATGGCATGTATTGTAGTATTTGATGGTTTGTTGTTAAATATTTAGTACTACAGTACATTACAAGTGGAAACGGACAGCACTGCTTTACTAATTTCCCAGTCAATTGGTTTTGTATGTAACCTGCCACTGTAATATACTGTAATATATTTTACACTGTATATTGCAACAGGAATCAGGGAACAGCAAGAATGAATAGAGGTTTTCAGAAACACCTGACAAATATTCAGGATTAAGAATGTTTTCATAATTAAAGTAAATACTGAATTGAATAGAAGCAGTTTGGGTGACTTCTCCATTATGAAAGCTGACTTATTTGCTATGGTTTCCTACAGTTATACCTTCAATATTTTATTATCCTGAATCATGAGAATACCGTTAATATAGTACATTATGGTCCACTTAACAAAGGCCTATGAAAAATCATGGTAAAAGTGCAAAATTACTATGACTAATTTACAGTGCAAAAGAGATTAATCTTTACATGGGGCACAAGAACAGAAGACTGGCCAATGGCTTCCCATCCACAGTACATCAGTGGTGTCCATTACCAACTGATCACATAACACGGACCTGTAAAGTAAATGGTTGTACAGGTGGGACACTTCTGTTTTGCAGAATCAAGGACAAAAGCTTGAAACATGTCTAAACAAATACAAAATACTAAATACAAAGATAAGTGAAAAAAGCTAATAAGAATAAGTGCCTAAGGAAAATGTGATGTCCTGTAAATTGTTTTTTTTTATATATATATAAATGTGACTAACAGACTGATAAAAGCCTGACAGTCTTTTACACACCAAAGAGTTTCAATGGAAGATGCAAGATACATAATGGGGGTATAAATGAATTGATTTGTTTTGCACTCAGTTTTGACCTTGCATCTGTCTCTTAGGTACACAGTATTCACCTCACAAGACAGCTCAGTTTCAAATACAGCCCCCTGCATTTCTTCCTTTAACAGTCACAAAGACAGGCATTGGCCTTTCAACAGAAGCAATCCACTTCAACTGCATAGGTGCCTTCTTTCTGGTTAAAGGTAAATTTAATTAAGTCCTGGAGGCAATGTGCAGCACTTGTCTTTTAAATATATTCAGGAAATCACATTGCAGCCTGTAACACAGCGGTGAATACAGTATTTATTTTCAGCATCGGAGCTGAGATATATTTTTCACTTATGAAGTAACCTGCTGTGAACACATAATCCAACCTCACCACCCCCACAACACAGCACATTATTTTGCGGGATTGCAAATTAGAAGTAATATTTTTTTTTTTAGAATATCACATTTACCAGTGTCTTGCAGGCTTGTGTTAAAAGATTTTACCTTTGTGTTTGTTTATGTATATATATTTGAAATTACATTACCGCTCCTTCATTAAAGAAAAATAACATTGTAAGACTTTATTTGCTGAGAGAACATACAGTATCTGTTTCTTGATGTAGTATTTTATAGCTAAGAATGTACTAGTTGCCTTTGATGTTACACTTAGTACCTATGCTTATTGTTTCCTTTATACTGAAAATGTATTCTTAAACAGTGAAAAAAGGAAAATTCCATCAATTGTTAGTTTCTCTTATGTCACAGTTGTGCAGTGGCATTGTCCTGATAATAATAAGAGTGGACAGAGCCTGATGCACACAGTGATAGTCTGTAGTTAATGTGGGCTGGTTTATTAGCTACAGTGAGGTGTTAAACAGAGACATTAAGATTGTGTTAGTGTGTGTCAGTACAGTACATACAGAGACATTCAGAATGTGTTAGTGTGCGTCAGTACAGTACATACAGAGACACTCAGAATGTGTTAGTGTGGGTCAGTATAGTAAATACAGAGACATTCAGGATGTGTTAGTGTGTGTCAGTACAGTACATGCAGAGACTCAGGATGTGTTAGTGTATGTCAGTAAAGTTCACACAAGCTGTGGTGTTCTGAAGATACTTAATCAGTATTTGATCTACTGCAGGTGCAAGATAGAAAGGTCAAGCATCATTTTGAAATGCCATGTCAGTTTTAAATAACTGGAAATAAGTGTTAATCTATGGAAATGTTGAATACACTTAAATAGTTGTAGGGAATTCCTTGGTATTTAAACATTTCAATGTTTAAAGGTGTATGGTTACTCCAGTCACTAGATAGGAATAATGATATGACTATTCATACATATTTTGTTGATGGCAAAGAAAAAACATATTAGATATTTAATTGCATGTATTGTACCTTAAAGTGATATTTAAATATTTAAGACCACGGGCTTGCATATCTCAAAATACACAGCAAAGGTGGCTGGTCGGCCCAAAGCAAAAAAATAAATAAAAAAAAATAATTCACCTACTTCCCGTCTTTCCCTTGTACGTCCCTGGATGTGTAAATGCAGTTGTCTCTTTTAAAGGATTGGTAAGTACACTGGATGGGCAGTTGACTAATTGACTGAGTAAAGAAAATGTGGAATGCTTCATACTCTCATATCTTGCCATGCCCCAGTTAGCCCAGCCCAGACTGCTTCTACAAAGTTCATTATTGTGGCGTTGACAGAGACCTGCTCTGGCTCACAAGATGTACCGTTAGTTTTACATCTCTTTACAGATTTGTTTAATTTTAACTGCATTACCATCAGACCAAATCTAGCAAGAATGCTAGATCTAAAATATAAGATTCAAGTAGAGATTTTCCTTTGTTCTGAAGTATATAGGGGCATAGGCAAGTTTAAACTTGGCTTGTTCATTACATGTAAGAGATATTCCTGTAAATGTTTCTTTCTTTGCATGTGAACGTTATGTATAAAATACATGAAAATCACTATACTGTCCAAAATGTTCAGTCCACTGTACAAAAGAATTGTCTATTTGTAAAGCAGCAAAATATCGGATGTCTGGATAAAATTAGTCAAATATCTGCATGTAGTGTACTGAGAGTTGTTGGACAAAATGACAAATCCAATTAGTGCATGTTAATGACAAATTATAGTCTTATTAACTCTTAAAGCATTGTTGAAATTAAACTATATATTATCTGTATACATATATCCTTAGTCTCTTTAGTCTGTAAAGTCAGAAATGACCAACTGAAACTGGCATCTGGAACTAAACAGGCAAGCCAGAGATGATTCACAAGTCCTGATTTTCATGGCTCACACACAGTTACCACACCAATCAACTGAAGGGCTGAAAGAGATTTACAATTGGAGGATTACAGTTCTGTCTGAAAAGGAGGAATAAAGAGCAAAACAATAGAACATGGAACTCCTACACTCCTTCAGAGTTCCACAATCAGTTCTAATGAATCCAATCAGCTGCTACTTGAAATACACAATCATCAGATCTGTGGGAAGCTGGGGGGGAAGGCATTCATCATCCATTCATTTGTCTTTTTCTCATAAATCACACCTCAGAGTGCTTGTTTTCTAAATATAATAAATCCGTCGCTTTTGAAACCAACAGTATGAGAACAGGAAATGTCACACTTAAGGTCTTTGAAGGCGCAAAACTGATTGGCAGCGCTGCCTTCTTGTGTTAGATTCTTCAGAGTGGATGGTAGAACACTCTCTAAATACAATCTATTATTTTAATGAAAGGCATCCCAATTAACACAGCAGTTGTACAGTATCTTTTAAACTTGGCAATGCAGAGGAAAAATCAAGGATAAGTAGGTATAAGTATGTTGATTTAAATTATAATCATGCCTTCTTAATATCACCAAAGGATTCCCCCAAATTCCCTTAATTATCTCTGCTATCATCAGCAAATGGATATCAGAACTCCAGTGTAACCACACTCTCCCTTGGTAAATGCATGTATTACAACTTTCTAATTGCCATGTATGATGGTAACCTTTGGGGACGTCCATAGGTAATTAGAACTTTGGAGCTTTCCTCCAGTAATCCTATAAGGACCTGTTAACT